CCAAGTGGTTGTCATCACTCTTCTCCTGGAAGTCTTCTCAACTAACCTTATGTTGACAGCATATTTTATTCTTTTGAGAATCAATTTGTAGTAATTAGTGAAATAGAAATGTAAGGCTGAAAATGTATTAATATAACGAATTATATGTGTGTATGTGTTACAATTCTGATTGTGCGAATATGCTCCCATATGGATAATTCAAAAAGGTAGATGATTATAAAACCTTTTAAAAATTTATCCTTGGATATTCCATTTGATTTGATGGAGAAAACTTGTGTTCTCAGAATTCATTTCGTATCTTCCTCCAGAAAAGTAGAGTGAGGATATATGTATATATACATTTTTCCCCCTTTCTGACGCTATGAAAATCTGACTATAGAAGCTGGAAAACTGCCCTTTCCTCTTCCTGCTTCCTCAAGTATCCTGGCCATTAGCTGGACAGTGGAACTAAATACTGTTAATTCTTAAAGTGATTCAAGATTTTTCCTGTCTTACAACTTAAGGGAAATTGCGGAACCTGGTAGAGGATTCCAGCACTGAAAGGCGGATCAGACGTAACGTCCCCCACTTTCTTACCGGCCTGCACGTGCGTCAGCTCCTCCTCCAGGGCGAAACTCCGCCCGCCGGTTCCCTTCTCCGCAGAGCCCTGCCCCACGCAGCTGATCCCGGGCGCCGCCCCACCCGCCTCTGTCTTTTCCCGCCCAGACTCTGCGCCTTCAGGAAGGGGCGTGGCCCCGTAGGAAGTTCTCGCGTTAGGGGAAGGTAGAGATTTCCGCTTCCGGTGTCATGGACGGTTCCTGGTCTGAAGGTGTGCCTGCCGCAGTCGGCGGGAAGAGGCAGCAGTTCGGGAGCCGGTTCCTGAGCGATCCGGCGCGCGTCTTCCACCACAATGCCTGGTAACCGCCCTCCCCCTCGCCTGGCCTGCGGCTCGGCCTCTGTCCTGCGGCCGCAGGCGCTCCGAGAAGCCCCTGACTGCCAGCCACGAGTCCAGCTACCCTGCTCGAGGCGCTCTCCTCCCACGGGAGAGGCCCTCCGGGGCCAGCAGCTCACCTTCTCCAGGGGGAACCTGAGGCCTCTAAGCTGCCCGTTTGATTTTCCCAGGGACAACGTGAAGTGGTCGGAAGAGCAGGCCGCGGCGGCGGAGAGGAAAGTCCAGGAGAACAGTACCCAGCGGGTGTGCCAGGAGAAGCAAGGTGCGCCTAGGTGGGCCCCGAATAGTATCGACAGCCAGCTTATTGCTGGACGCGCGTTCTCAGAGAGGCCAGAGAACCGAGGCTGCCAAGAGTCCTTGTTACTGAACTGATAACAGAACTCGGGGGTAGAACGGGAGGGGGAGGGGATGGGCAACGATGGAAGAGGGCTACACCTTAAAATCTTTTTAGAACAGAGAGTGTTCTAGTTTTGGTGTTTTGCTTGGAAGAAGGTAACTGTATCTTGAAAGTTTTTTCCAGTGACTCAAGTTTTTGGTTATGTTAATTAGACATTAATATGACTGACCTGTGGCAACCGTGTGGTCACATGATTGTCTTAGAGGAGTACTTTCTACATTATTACACTTTGCCTGAGGAAATGTTGCCACTGAAGCTAGATATGAGTGATCAGATTGTAAATATTGGGGGGTTGGTGGCTAATGGCTGGTGAATTTACATCTTTTTCTTGTGTGATGGCTATGAGGATTTAGGGCTTCTGCCAAGGAAAGATGGATGAAGCAAAGTGGAAATAAGACTGGTCAAAGAAAAAGAGGCCTCTTCTGGAGAGGTGGATGCTTTCATTGCAAAATAACCCAAGTATAACTAGGACTGGTTGGACCTCTGTCCTAAATGACAATTGAAAGTAGGACTAGAAATTGAAGAGTAGTAACCACTAAAAGGGTTCTGTATAACAATTAGAAGATTCCAGTTACAAAATGTTCACCTTACATAGTTTGACAAAGACTAGGTCAAAGTAAGTTAAAGTTGAAAGGGATTTTGAAAATCATGTAGTCCAATATCCTCTTTTTACAGTTAAAGAAACTTGGACCACAGGACATTAATTGCCTCACCCAGAGGTAAGCAGTTAGTAGCAGTGGTGGAACTAAATCCAACTTCTTAGGTTTTTATTCATCCTACTACACTAGTCAAGGCCTTGTGTTAGCAGAGAGCAGAAAGCTGAAATTAAGTTATAAACCATTGTTATCTCAATAAAAAATAGTAATTTTTTAAAAAGAAAACAAATCTAAGACTGCCTTGATCATGTTAAACAACAATTTTCTTTTAAACAGTCCATACTTATTTAGTCTCTCCTGTACCCTATCATCAAATCTTCTCGTCTGAAGACTTTTTTCCCTCTTGGCAGCACTTTCTATTTTCCTTTTAGCTTTGTGTCAATTTTTAGTGTCTATTAGTAGCATTGAATTCATTTCGGGGCTCCTCACTTTAAAGAACCACAGACAGGAAGCTTACTTTAAAGATGAGCAACATATATTGTAACCATTGAGTTCATGTGGGGAGTAACTGAAGAACCTGGGACGTCTAACTTGTAAAAGAGGATTTAGAAGGAGAAATAACTGCCCTCATACAAAAGAGTTGTTCTGCATAGCTCTGAGAAATAGTAGGACCTTTTGACCAGAAATGATTAGACAGATTTTTTTCTTAATGTTAGGATTTTCTAATAGGTAAGGGCCATCCAAAGATGTGGGAGAACTGATAGGTAGTAAGTTGCCTGGCAGAGGTTGGACTCTGGAAGGACGAGATAGAGAGCAAATTCAGGTGTGGTAGGTAGTCAGACTAAACGACCTCCAGCTCTGAGACTGTGGCTTTACCTAAATATAACTTTCAGTATAAAACTCGGTGAAGCAAGATGCTGCTCGACATTAGATACAAGTAAAATATTGACAGATGGATCTTACAGTTCTTTCTTAAATATTTACAGTTGATTATGAGATCAATGCCCACAAATACTGGAACGACTTCTACAAAATCCATGAAAATGGGTTTTTCAAGGATAGACATTGGCTTTTTACTGAATTCCCAGAGCTGGCACCTAGCCAAAACCAAAAGGATTTGCTCTCAGAGAACAAGAGGAGTGAAGTACCTGAATGTAGAAGTGAGGATGGACCTGGTTTAACAACAGAACAGCATGGATGTTCTTCAGACAGCCTTGGTGGACATAAAACACAGCTGCCTCCTGTGGAGGAGAATGTAACTCAGACACTCAGTCACCTGGAAATCTGTGCTGATGAGTTTCCTGGAGCCTCAGCCACTTACCGAATACTCGAGGTAACCTCCCTTTATTGTCCTGATAGTGAGGTTAGTGAAGCTGTTGTATTACGCACATGGAGTGGCATAGAGAGGCTGACCGCAAAAGTAACTTCTCTCTGATGAAGCTGGCTAGACTTGACCTTATCTTGGTCTGGAATCACCTCCATTTTTGAACTAATGGAATGCTCTAGATGCAGGCCAGCTATGGTAGTCATGGTAAACAAAGCTCACCTGAGGTACTTCAGAAAGTTGTAGCATGGTGCACTACCTGCCATCTGGAAAAGAGTTCCAGGTCACAAGACAACTTCTGTTACTTCTCTTCTAATACACTTGTAGAGGTTAGTTGGGATGGTGTTACTCAGGTGTGGGAGAAATCGTGCCCTCTCAGTTTGCATGGTGGGGCAGATGCGAGGCTAGGCCTGGAAAAACATCTAGGGTGGGCACTGTAGCAGAAGTTCACAAATAGTGACTGCACATGCCACTGGAAGCCGATTAGCTTTGGGGCTGTCTGAGTCCTATAGCATGACTTTTTACTAGTCCCTTACCCTCCCCAAGCAGAATGGGACTTCTCTACCTCTTTCTGCCTCATAGCTAGGGGTGTTAGTTGAGATAATGTATGTAAAATGGCTAAGGATAGTGTCTGGCACACAGTAAGCCCTTAGTAACAGTCACTGTTTTTGTTATTAGCACACCTAGCACTGTGCTTAGGACCGTGTAACTATGGTCCCCTTTTCATGAATTTTTCCAGTAACATAGCAGAGTTCTGTAAGAAGATAAGTTGTCTACAGGAGCATTTGTCAAAACTCAGAAAGTAAAAGCAACCCATGCCCTTTTTTCCAGACCAGCTTCCTCCTGCTAATGAAAACCCATGCTCTCTTTATGGCTGACTCTTCAAGGGTTCCTGAGGTCGAGATCAGGGAATGTCATGGTACTATTTAGGAATATAATTAGACAAGATTATCTATTGTTGATTATTTATCTAGCTTCAGGTAGTTTATTCCTTGGAAAGTTCTGTGATTAATGGTTCATTTCTGTCTACAGGTTGGTTGTGGTGTGGGAAACACAGTCTTTCCAATTTTACAAACTAACAAGTAAGTTTGTTGTGAAGTTTGACTCTGACAGCAAAGAAGAGAGAAGTAGGGGGTTATTTCTCAAAACTCTTACTACATCAAACTGTTAACAGTGGTTATTGGAAGCCAAACTGGTAACAGTGGTTATTGGGAGCTGTGGGTTACAGGAGATTAAATGTTTACATCATCCATTTATGAATTGTTTTGATTTAATGTGATTTATAAGTTACTTTTGTCAGATAAATTAGTGGGTTTTAAACCTGTTACATTGTTAATATTTGATGCCTTTGATATTTTAACAGGAAAGAGAATAGACCTAATCCAGCTTGTAATCTTAATTATTCTGCTGGTTTTTTCTGCCCATTTCAGTGACCCAAGACTCTTTGTTTACTGTTGTGATTTTTCTTCCACAGCTGTAGAACTGGTCCAGGTAAGTGCAGTGGCTGCTATCATTGATTTTCACTGATTAAAGAGGAAAGGGTCTGCTAAAAATCAAGATCTCTAACTATCTTCTTATTGTACTTGGTCTAAAAGTAAAAGATGCACTGAAACAGCCTAGAGTAGAGGAAAGGGCCAGATGTGAACACAGAATTTGCCGCTTGCCTGCTGTGGAACTTTGGGAAGGTCTCTTGACCTCCCCAAACTCATGTTTTAAGGATTGAAATAATTCAGGGTTCTTTGAGTTACAAGTTAGAGAAACTTCTATAATTAAAGGGAATGTCATAGAACTCAAGAGAGTATTGTATAGCCAGGACTAAAAGGCAGGCCTGAAAGGGTGTCAGGTACCCAAGGCCAGCCGGCTGGCTGGTGAGATGTTGCTGCCCCCTTCTATCACAGCACCTCCATCAAGTTCACAGTGTCTTGCCTCTCATTGCCCATTTACCTTTTGCTTTGTTTTTCCTTTGCACACCAGCTTTCTCTAGTAGGTTTTTCCTGGTTTTGCACATGACTCCAACATACTTGCCCCTCCCAGTCCTTTACAAGTTCCCCTGTTCAGATGGTATCAGAACCTCCTATCCCAATTCCAAAATCTCCAGACAGTCAGGTTGACACAACCCAGCTAATAATCTACTTACCCTCTCTAAATTAGGCCAGTGGGGAACAAAGTCATGTTTTTGGAAAAGAGAGATGTGAATGTGTCTGTTACAATCACATATGGTGCTCCTAGCACAGGAGCTCGGAATTGGTAGCTTTGTCTTTCTGGAATTATTCTTATGAACCTACACCAGATGAATATTGAGGCTTATCTTTAGTTAATTTTATGATAATAAAACATAGGTTAAATCTTCTACATCTGAAGAAATAGAGTTCCCTGGAGAATTCTGTGATCTGTATAATGTGTTGTAGTTGGCAGTTGTTTTAAATCATTTGCTTTTCATTATGTTTTGTTTCTCTCACGAGGTTTCTCTTTTCCCTTTCTGTCATTTACCTTCCTGATTGTTTTCTGGTCCTGGGATCTAACTATGTCAGAATAAAAACTAAAATTAGAGGAATCAGGAATGTTCCATTTAAAAACTGCCAATTAGATTCCACAGGCTCTTCTCTGGAGTAGTTCCTGATTCTTACTCCTTGGGTGAGAACGTTTGCCGTTAATGGCAGGAACTGTATCCTTCAGTGGGAAGTAGCAGGGATTACATTTAAAGCAAGATAGCTTTCCTGAGGCTCTCTAACCAGTGTCCTCTAACCAGTGTCCTCTCTTCCAATCTGCAGACAAATTCAGCATATGACCCTTCTCGGTGTTTTGCCTTTGTTCACGATCTGTGTGATGAAGAAAAGAGTTACCCAGTGCCCGGGAATAGTCTTGATGTCATCATCCTTATATTTGTTCTCTCGGCAATTGTTCCAGACAAGTAAATTTTAGATCCCTTAACTAGTAGCATAGCAAAAACAATGCTTTGGTCTCAGGAACCTTGATATCAGAGTTAGGCCCTAAGTAAAAAGGATTTTATTAATGTTCTGATAGACAGGAAGAAGCCATTTCACCGTACGTGATAGGAGCTTCTCAATCATTTTTCTAAATTTTTTTGAAGTCTAACTGCTGTTCCAGCCTCTTAAACTCTAAACCTTTGCTTGTTGACTGCAGCAGTTGGTTTTTCTTTTCATTGCTGTGGTTTAACATCCCCAAAGAATTGGGGGGGCCTTCTTAGTGGGTATGTGGAGAAATTCCTCACTGATGATCTCATAGCATGGTGTTCTAGAATTGTGGGTGCCACAGCTGCATCCCATTAATGGGCTTTTAAAATGCTTTAAATAAAACAGACTTTATTAAAAGCACAAAATTTACAGTGAAGCATAACTCAGGTATTCTCTGATATTTAAGTTCTTTGGAAAACTGTAGTACAGGAGGATTCTGTAAAATCAAGAGTAGCTAAGGAAAGTCAATTTCTTTACCATAAAAGATACCACTAAAGCCTCTAGATATAGACACCAAGTCATCCTGGTGAAATACTGTCTCAAGGAAGCAGTATCAGTCAGGAGGTGGCAGGGGTGGTGGGGATGATAGACTTTCTCTAGCTGGCATTTCCCTGGAATAGCATTGAGTCATTTGACCTGAGAGGGATATTATGAGTGTGAAGTAAAGGCAGATGGAGGACGCCCAAACAGCCTGGCATGGTTTTAAACATTAATAACTACAGAAGTTTACATGCTGCAAACTTTAAAAAACTGATAGACTAAAACAAATATTAAAAATTTATTATTAAATATTTAAATAAATAGACTCAGTATTTCAAATGGTTTTTGTAAGTTTGAAGTATATATACTTCTGCAGTGGTTAAAGCTGAAACCTGCACTGAGATTCTATATATGGAAAGTGCAGTTAGAAATGTAAAAGCACTCTGCCCATAGTACTTATTTGCATATAGACTGTATCACCATGTGAATTGTAAGTTCTTGAGGTTTGGTCTGCATTTAACAAGTGGAAAGATACAGTCTGCATTCAGAGAACTTGGGCCCAGTGGGGCAGGCAGATGAGTCCACTAGCAGACCCCACACTGGGTGGTCAGGGGTCCACTCAGGGATTCATGGGAGCCCAGAGCAGGGGTGGCTTCCCCACAAGGAGTGGAAAGTGAACCAGGCAGAAAGCAGATAACCTCCCACACTGAAGACGCAGCTTATCTTTGGGCCTCTTCATACTGAAGGCACTGGATCGAAGCCACAGTTGTGAGCAGGCATTAGAAGACAGACGCATCAGAGGCTTGGACATGGTTTGGGTTGTAACTGAAACAAAAGCAGAGGAGCTAAGATTTCAGGACTCTGTGTCAGGGTTAGGAAGTCCACTGGCTTTTCAGGATATAATGCAGGCAGAAGGAACCCTGTCCTTAAAGAGACCTGATCTTCATTCCCTGCTGCCACACAGGATGCAGAAGGCTATCAACAGGCTGAGCAAGCTTCTGAAGCCTGGAGGGGTGATGCTTCTGCGAGATTATGGCCGCTATGACATGGCTCAGCTTCGGTTTAAAAAAGGTATTTTCCCACTATAGTTGAAGCAGTGGCTTTGCCATCAGAGTAGTCATACAAATCAGTAGAACAAAACAGAAACTCTAGAATTAGATAACTCAATATATAAAGTCATTCAATACATAGTAAGGGTGGTATGCTTTTGGAGACTTGTATAATCTATTAGGGAGATCTTTTTTAGAAAAAGTCATTTGATTACGTAAATAGTTTTAAGTGTGGTATGGCAAAAGATAGCATTAAAAAGTTAAAAGACAAATGATGGATTGAGGACAAGTACTTTCAGTTAATAGAACAGATGAAGACTTAGTATCTATGCTCTTCAAACGGGACTGTTGGCAGATTGATAAGGGGAAAGATCAGTGACCCACCCAAAAAACAGACAAGAAGTGGTTGAGTTGATTTACTGAAGAGCATATCCAGATGGCCAAAAACAAAACGTCAAGAAAATAATAGCAAGGAGATACTAGTTCTTAAACCTATTGCTGGCTGATTCAAAGAAAGAGATACGTTCCTCCGTTATTGGTAGAAATAGGAACTGTTAACGTCCTTTTCTTAGCACTCTGGTGTTACCTATTCAGTTCAACAGTCCTTTGGGGAATTATTCAAGAACCAGCACATCATATGTGCACTGCCTCTGGACAGGGCAGTGTTGTGCATGTCGTGAGGTGGAGCCCACTCCACCGTTCTCTGAGGGGTTTCCATTCTATATCAGCAAGTGAGAAAAGCAATGTGCAGATCAGCATTTTAAACATAATCCTGTGTATAACAGTAGCTGGAGGAAAATAACTAAGTAAAATTATTTTGATAGTCAAAAGGTTTAGGGGGGTGGGTATAGTTCAAGCTGTAGAGTGCATGTTTAGCATGCACAAGGTCCTGGGTTCAATCCCCAGTACCTCCCCCAAATATAAATAAATAAACACAATTACCTACCACCCACAAAGAAAACAAAAATCACTAAATACTTAAAAACAAGAGGTGTAGAAGGATTATGTCAGAATGTTAAATTGACAAGATCAAGGGGCTTAGCAGCAGAAGGGGAATTGTGGTCGTGATAAAAACAGTATCCATGTGGTCATATTTATGAATGTGCATGTGGACACATGGAGAGACATGCAAAAGGACAATCACTAAAATGGGAATAGTGGCTGTCCTGGGTTCCTTAAACTTAGCTATATTCCTTTAAAAAACAAACAAACATGTTTTTAAAGTGGGCGAAATGCTATTTAGAAAGTTTTTGGTTTTGTTTTTGAACAAAGTATATGTATTGTATTTAATCCAGGAAGAAACAAGTTTTTATCATGAAACTTTAGAACAGCGGCTGAGAATTGCCTGTGTTCGCTAACACTGAAGTTTGATTATTCCCCTTGGGCTCCTCTTCTTCAAAGCACCATTCATTTGTAGGCAAGATATTGCAGATTCCTACAAAGTGTAATCCACGAAAGGATCTGTTCTCTGCCCAAGAAATTGATATCTTGATGCATATTTGATTGGCAGGGAAATTCAAAGAAGTGCTTTTGAAGTGTCTCTGGTCTTTACCCCATCACCCTGCAGGTCAGTGTCTGTCTGAAAATTTCTATGTGAGAGGTGATGGCACCAGAGTTTACTTCTTCACACAAGGTATGAAAGCCTCATCTTTGTTTATACTGACAGCCCCCACAACACCAGATAAATGTTGCTCAAGGTGCTTTCAGAGGAGAAATCATCTGACCCCTCCTACCTTTCGCAGCCTCTTCCCTTCCCCACCCCTCACCCCTACTCTCAGCCAACCTGAACCACTCACTGTTCTCCAGATAAACTCAGCCTATCCAAGCCTTCCGCTCCCCACTTTGCTCTTCTGCTCGCTCCCCATCCTCTCTGTCACTTTATCTAAAACAGGAAACCTGTCTATTTTGCAAGACTCCACTGCAGCTGTTTCAGCCTCTAAGCTGAGTTGTACCTTAGGTGCACCTGAGATAGCGTAAACTCATTGCTCCCATCAGCTGAGTCTTAGAGAAGCTCTCCCTGTGGATTCCAGCCCTTCACACACGGTTGGCCTTCCCCTACCTAAATGCTGTTACCAAGCTACTACTGCATTTATAACTGAACAGTGCTGTCCAAGCCACTTAAACCCTATAGATAAGGACATAATCTCAGAGCCCTGTTTAACATCTAGATGGTAGACACGGGAAAATACGTAAACATCTCTTTTCCAAACTAGATGAACTGGACACGCTTTTCACTACTGCTGGACTGGAAAAGGTTCAGAACCTGGTGGATCGCCGGTTGCAAGTGAATCGGGGGAAACAACTGACAATGTACCGAGTTTGGATTCAATGCAAATATCGCAAACCTGTTCTGTCCAACACCAGCTGAGAGGCACCTGCTCCTGACATGCGTGTTCATTGAAGCTTTTTAAAAGAACATCTACAAACAGGCTTGAACCTACGAAAAAACGTTTTTTATCAAGAGTCTACATTTTGCTTCACATTTGTGAAACCCTGTGTTACGTACTTTTCTCAAGTTTTTTCTATCTTGGAGATCTCAAAGAATCTTGCCATTTTGTAACTTAATAAGTGAAACATTATTTATGGAAATCAGTTTCTTTCCATGCTTAAGTATTATATATGATAAATGATTAAGTTGCATTAAATTATTTGGGGATTCAAATACCTGGACTAATCAATTGATGCACACAAAGATGAACAAAGGTCTCGTGCAGTGGTTGGGGAAGCAAGTTGGGAAGAATCATCTGTATTTGGATGTTTTCCTGACTCAAAAAAAAAAGCATCAAAATATGGTGTCCTTGTTAATTATTTGGTCATGGTCTCCACTTAACCTTAGTTCCATAGAATTATAAGCACTGTTCCCCTAAGTAACCCATGTCTAAAAAATTGAAAAGATCTTCACTTTTAGCAAATTGTCTCTCTTTTTGTGTGCCATTAAATGCTTGACAAAAAAGGAATTGAGAGAAATTTTAGCCATTTCACTTCTGAATGTGATCATTTCATCAGTGTTAGTTTTTTGCTATGATGGTCCGCGAGTTATATGATGTATTCTTAATTTTTACCAACTTAAGAATTTTCATTTCTTCATTCCTACATGTTGAATTTTTTAATGCAAACTTAAATATTCTCATAATTGTTTCAGTTATGAGAATGTGATAAGCAAGCAATTTTTTTTAATGATTCCAAACTTTGAAGTATAGTACCAGGAGTATTACAAGAATAGTCAACTTCTTTCTGAATCATTTTTAAGAGTAAGTTGCAATGTGATATCCCAACACTACTCTATATTTTATAATGTAAAATTCCTGTAGATGAAGATGTTCTGTATCACCAAATACATGCACCAGATGTAGAAATTTACATGGAAGCACTACCATCCACAGATAACCAAGTTTTCCCAACAGTCCCACTAATATCCTTTATCATTTGAAAAAAAACAAAAAACTCTTGTGCTGCACTAGGTAGTCATGTCCCAGTCTCCTTTAGTCTGAAACAATCCTTCAGGTTTGTTTTCATGACCTTGACATTTGAAGATTACAGACTATTTTGCAGATTTTCCTCAAGTTGGGTTTGTTGATGCTTCATCATGATTTAGTTCAAGTTATGTATTTTGGGCAGGAATATCAGAAGTGATGCTGTTGCATCTTAACACAGTAGGTACATGATTTTGAAGTACCCTGTTGGTGGTGGTGTTAACCTTAATCACTTAAAATTGAGATTGTGCCTCCTGGGTTTCTCCACTGGAAAGTTACTGGGAAGTATTCTGTAGGATAGTACTTTGAGACTAAATATCTTATTCTTCATTAAAGTTCATCCTTAGTTTCAGCATCTTTTGCTGTTTCTTGGCTGAATTATTACCGTAATGGTAGCCAAGTAGTGTTTTCAAATCGCACATTCCTTCTGCACTTATTGGTTGGCATTCTGCCATAAGGAAAGCTTTTTTTTTCCTCCACATTTACTTATCTTAATATATATTCATGGAGTTCTGTTTTAATCAATGATTATAGTACATTACTCTCACTCTGATATTTTGATGCTCATGTTGTCCCTGATTTGGCCAATGGGAGTCCCTTCAAATGCTTCTGTGACCTTTTGACACGTGCAGGGGCTCAGGCTATATACCTAAGCCCAAAGCACAAGGCAGATGCTGGGAAGGTGGAAGAAAAATTGTTCCTGTTGTGATGAATGCTTCAGAGATGCCAAAGGTGGTCTTTTATGGGTCGTTTAATGTATTTGTTCTTCATTTCAAAAGACAAATGAAATATTCCAGTACATAAAGCACAAGTTGTTCCAGGCTCATCTTGTACATTCTCTGCCCCAGTCTGAACTAGCCATTATCTCCCATAGGGTTCCAGTTCTTTTAGTGGAGAAAGGTATTTAGAAACCAACGTAAGTGTGCTCATTGCCCTTGGGGTGTTCTGTTCCCAGTCCCCCTTTGTGGTTAGAACTCGGATATATGTATGTATATATAACTTGCATCTATATTTTTATACTTCAGTACATATTGAAAACCATCAGTTCAGACCAGTACCTTTCATTCCAACCCAATACCACAGGATTTATTCTAGTTTTTATTCTTTCTCTCTGTACATGTTCCCTTTTTCAACAATCCCAAACTCCCATGATCCTCAATATATCAGGCCAATCTCCCCATACATAACCATTCTTTTGTCACCACACATGGATGCCCTCTCACTTCTCTTGGGCTCTGACACCATACGCCCCCAGCCACTGTTTCCACCATGTCCTCACAAAAACACCCTCCTCACCCTGCCCTGGATCCAACACCCCACAGGGCCGCCGCCACCCCCACCCCTCTGCCCCTGCAGTAACACCTACCCTGCTTGGCTTCACCTGCTGAGTTTTAAAAGGTGGGAGGGAAGGAGGAAGGGAGTTTTCATCTTTTCCTTGTAATGAATTTATTTAAATCTAAAAGACTGAGTCACTGAAATGTATTTCATTTGTCTTTTGAAATGGAGAACAGATACATTAAATGATCCACTAAAGACCTTCCTTTGACATCTCTGAAGCATTTCAAAGCAACAGAAACAGTCTGTTCCATCTTCCTAGCATCTGCCTTGGGCTTTGGGTTTAGGTATGAAAGTTGAGCCTTTTCCTGCCCCCTGCTAAGCCCTCTGACCTTTTATCTGTCAAGTCAACTTGAACTCCGTTAAGGACTTGGATAATTTTTTCAGCCTTGAAGTCAGTAATTATGGGCAATTAAACATGGTCCAGGTAGATTAAAGTATGACCTCGGCGCTGCTCATAAAACAAAGATTACCTGGACTATCAGTCTGACTCCAAATGGTATCTTTATACTCTTAATGCAAGAAGAGTGCTGTGCTGGCTGGGAAGGTAGTTCCACATGTGAAACTGCTCAGGAAGTTGTGTGGTTTAGATTGGAGTCTAATAGAGAACTGTTTCTGAAACTGACTGATCTTCCTAAGTGGTGTTAATTTGGCTGAGGAGATAAATTCAATGTTGTTTGAAAAATAAGAGGCAGTTTAATTTGAGACACGTGCACTGGAGCTATTGGAGAGGAGCCGTGTTCCTGAAGGCGGTGGCCAGGGTCACAGTGTAACTCTCACCTGGAAAGCATGGGTTCTTACAGCTCGGAAGTGATTCACCTCTGGATTTTGTGTGCTTCATCTTGAGCCTGGCCTCTGTGAATGCTTCAAACTTATGCTTTGCAATGGGTCTTCTACCTGCCTTCACGTGAGTTCATACTCTCTTGGGCTCTGGCTGGGAAATTAGGGCCTTGGAAACTTAGTAGGAAAAGGAAAATCTAATGTACTAAGACATTCTGCTTTTCTCTAAGTGATTCCTCTCTTTGCTTAAAGACATCACTTTAGTAGTAGTGGGGACTTCTATCTGTGGCTTGAAAGATGAGCTCAGGACAAACAGCTTCTTTCACTCTATTCACAAAAGGCCTGTTCTTTGGTTTGTGGCTGCAGCTGCTATTTTCAGAGCTGGGCTGCATCGATGCGTTGCACATTTTTATGTGCTTCTTAATTTCATATGCAGGGTGATTTGGGAACCTGGGTTGAGAGGTGGAAGGAGTGCTGGTGAATTTTGCAAGTAAAAACACTGAAATGGTACATCACGGCCACCTCAGTTTATTCCAATGAATTTCTGTGTTCAAGATTGGACATCGTCTCTTTTTTTTAACTTTTTTTTAAACTGAAGTCAGTTTACAATGTTGTATTGATTTCTGGCATACAGCATAATGTTTTAGTCATACATATACATATATTCTTTTTCATTATAGGTTACTACAAGATTTTGAAAATAGTTCCCTGTGCTATACAGAAGAAATTTTTTAAATCTATTTTATATATAGTAGTTAATATCTGCAAATCCCAAACTCTTAATTTATCCCTTTCCACCCTCTTCCCCACCACCCCCATCTCCACCCTCCTGGTAACCATGTTTGTTTTCTATGTCTTTGAGTCTGTTTCTGTTTCATAAATAAGTTCTTTTATGTCTTTTTTTCAGATTCCACATGTAAGTAGTATGGTATTTTTCTTTCTCTTTCTGGCTTACTTCACTTAGAATGACAATTTCCAGGTCCATCCATGTTGCTGTAAATGGCATTATTTATTTTTTGTGGCTGAGTAGTATTCCATTGTAGAAACATACCACAATTTCTTCGTCCAGTCACCTGTCGATGGACATTTAGGTTGTTTCCATGTCTTGGGTATTGTAAATAGTGCTGCTATGAACATTGGGGTGTGTTTATCTTTTCGAGTTATAATTCCCTCTAGATGTATGCCCAGGAGTAGGATTGTTGGGTTATATGGTAACTCATTTTTAGTTTTTTGAGGAATCTCTATACTGTTTCCCATAGTAGCTGCACCAAACTATATTCCCACCAACAGTGTAGGAGGGTTCCCTTTTCTCCACACCCTTTCCAGCATTTAACCAGTTGTCTCTTGACTATAGTCAGTGAAGTGCACTTCATGACCAAGTTACAGGACACACAGCCACAGTTAGATTCCATGCTCCACTGGGGGGACCCCAAGACATAGGAGACTTGACCAGGGGTTCAACTTGTCATCGTCACCTTGAGGTAAGCCCCAAGTTGCGTTTAATCATTGATTCCCTGCCTTCCTGTATCTGAGTTTGAATTTCTCCATTAAAACTTAAAATATCCTTAGAAGGAGCCATACTGTAAAGCTTTATCAGCAATAGCATGTTAGAGAAACACCTCCGGGGGAGGAGAGGACTGGAGAAAGCCCTCCCATGCCGTGCTGCCACGGAGCCCCCCTCGCCCTCCTCGGCCTTGCTTCCCATTACTCAACGTTTATTACATGATTAAGGCTGACGCTCAGTGGAGCTCACTAAATGATGAATTCC